TTTGTTTTGTCGATTTCTTTGTATTTTACCCACGAGCGCGTACTGTCGGCATCGGTTACTACAAAGGGCGGCATCACCCTAAACTGAAGGACATTGAGGCACCCTAAACAGTCTGATTCTAGTAAGTCCGCCCGGGTCATTTGTGTCGGAGAAATAGAGACAGCGAGACGCACTCACATTTCGGCTGCGACGACGCCGGAGCGAGCCAGATCTTCCCGCGCGCACCGTGCAAGTCGGTCCGGAAGACAGGACCGCCCGAAACAACGCAAGGTCACCGGACCAACACAGACCGGTTTCGTAACAGGGCCCCCGTTTCTTTTAAATCGGGGAGAGGGAAACTATCTCCCCTCTCTGCTTCTCTCTCTCTCTCTCCGGGGCTACCAGGCATTACGTTGGCCCAACTCCTAGATGACCAAGCGGTAGTGCAGCACTTTATGCGTCATCTAACGGGTGCCGACGCAAATTGAACATGACGTTCTGTTGGAAGACAAATTAAACACAGCGTTCCATTGGAAGACATTAAAGGCGGCTCTAGGGCTGTGCTATCTTTGCCCCAGGGCGGCAGGGTCGTCACACTCGTCACGCAATGCATGCTTGTCGGTCGGTGTGGATAGCCTCTTGCAATTAAATGGGTCGAGCTTTTGTTTTCGACCCCGCAAAAACTTGCTATGCTCCGTTTGACTTTAAAGGGGCTTTCCGGAGCTTTCTTTGCCTGAAAATTTGCTAATCAGACAAACAAACATGGCTGAAATAGTGACTCTAATATTGGGCAAAATAATTTTTTTTGTTGAATTCACAATATTGGTCCTCACCGTGTTTTTCAGAGTGAAAGGCCATAATAATACCTGTATTTTTCGTCCAGTTAGGTGGGGAAAATACTGGCAACAATGAAAAAAGGATGGCGGGGGTTCACTCTTTAAACTAGACTTTGTTCCCAATTGATTACAAGCAGTTTCAAGGCGTCAAATGAATGCTTTGGAAGCTCGCTTTAGCACCTGCGCAGCAGCACGAAACAAACGGTCGACATGGATCATTTTCAGACCGCCCACTCGACCCCCAAGCATGCCTCCTCCCGACGTCGAGGCGCTGAAAAGCGCGGGTAAATTTGAATGTTGGTGTTGCCATTTTATTAATTTTTATTAATTTTTTTTTGCGTACCGCTCGCTCGTGACTAAAGGAGGAACGTACATTAAAAAAAAAAAAATAAGTAAGGTTCATACCTGCGATACATTATTTTCAGTCGCCGATTTCACTTTAACTATTCTGAATTTCGTAAAGTCAAATAGCGTACCTGAAAGGGTAAAGGCCGGCGATAGCGAAAATATAATTAAGCAGCGCAAAAAGTGTACCGTCACATCGTCTTTGTGTGTTTTCGTTCCCGGCTTAATTAATCCGGCGCCATGATTGCGCGCTTCCTGATGCGAGTGATTGGTCTTCCAGCCGGTAATTGCGAGCGCCAACGAACGCCGTGACGAAGAACTTCGGCACTACTTGACCGGCTACATCGGATCGTGGCGGCGGCTGCGCTAGGACTTTACGGGAAACGGAGTTGATACACTCTCAGGAATGGGCGGTGTAGTACTAGCACCCTCTTTGTGACAACTTGTGCTGCTTTCCAGCCTGATTTCCATCCATATTTTTGCCTGGAACATTCTAAATGCGCGGGTCGTCCAGATTTTCGTAACTGTTGCGAGTTGCAACAATAAAAAACTCTCTAGCTATACTTCGTTTCAGCTTCGGTCCGAGCGCGGCTAATGTTATAGCCGAAGGGCCAATCAAAGAGCGGATGAGGCACAACGTCATGGCGTGCTTTCTGCAGTTGATAGGACCAGCCTGTATTCGCCGTCTCTCTGTGCGTGCTCCTCTGCCGGTTAGTCCTATCAAGCCGCAAAAAAACGCCATGACTTTGTGCCTTTTTACGCTGTTTGATTGGCCTTTCGGCTCATAACATCGGCCGCGCTCGGACCGAAGCTGAAACGAAGTTTAGCGTGTGCCATCATTACAAGTGTATAAAAGAACAACAAAAAAAGTTTAAATAAACGACACCAAGAGTACGGCTCGCTCTTTTGGTGTCTTATCAAAAGGATAAGAATGGTTTTTCTCGCTGTTATTTTGTTCGCATATTTTTAAAATTTATATCAACCGACGAAATTCTTCCACCCTGGCGCCCGCGAGCAATGCGGGAGAGCGTAATGACGCACAAGCGAAACGCGACCCAAATATGTCAGATATTGCTCGCCAGAGGCGTTGCTTAAACGTGTTAGGTATACAGCCCTATAGTACCAACTTTGAGGAGCAGCTTGATAATCGAGCGACGGAACTTAGTAAAATAGCTAACGTCCGCGTTAAAGACTGTAGGAAAACACTCGAAGATTTGTCAGCACTGCTGCAAAAGCTCAGTGTTTTTTTTTTCTGTAGTCTTTGATGCGTACATTAGATAGTACGGTAAGTTATATCAGGCAGCTATCAAGCCACTCGTAAAAGTCGGTATCTTCAGTTTGATGTGGGTGAACTGAACGTCGAAATGTAGTTTTGGGGGCGTTATATAAAGCCGGCTCAGTGGCTCCGAGGAAAGCGCGCTAACCTGCGGATCCCCATGTAGCGGGTTCGAATCCCGGCCGAGTTGCCCGCAATCTGACGGAGGCTTATTGCGGAGAAGGCGCCGTGTAACCGAGCTTTTGGTTGCACGTTGGACCACGTTGGACCACCTGGGGAGATCCCCAGGTAGTCCAACGCTTCAGTCCACCGCTGGAGCGTGCCAGATGTCCGCCGTAGGTTTGGCACGTAGAACCCCCAAATTTGACTTTTTTGAAGCGTTATATAAGGAGCAAGGGGGCGTAAGTGCTACGCCCACTATTTCTGAGTGCAAGCTGACAGTGCGGGGATAGCTACGAACTCGTTGGACCAATGGTAGGGCGATTTTCGCCACGTGATCACGCTCCAGTCCTTACCCGCACCCAGAGGGTGGGGCCCGGTGATGAGGCGAAGGCGGTTCACTGATCCGGCGAGATCGTAGCTGTCAGCTTAAAGGAACCATGAAATGACTTTTTTTCTTTTGCCGAATAATTTTTACTGTAAACCTTCAATGTTCACTGAATGCCGAACAGGCATCAGTTTTCGTTTTGGTGTATTAACTTCTACACAAAGAAATATTGAAATATCGACTTTTTCTTCCTCTCCAACTCACCGCAAAGCAAGCTGCGGCGTAATTTTAACGCTCGTGAGGTCCGCCGGCATCGGAACCGGAAGTTCTCTCGGCAGTGGGAGAATGGGAGCGTTAGCGGCGGCGAGTTGGCGGTGTGCCGGTTGGTTTTACCGCGCTGATGGCGCTGATGCCACGGAGGTCTTTTGGAACCTGCCCCCATTCGCAGAGAACACTGTGAATGTGGCTGTAATCACGCTCGGTGTCAAAATGTTCCGAGCATACACGAATGACGTTAGACCCGGGGTCCCTCAAACCGATGAGCCCGCACCAATTGCTTCGACGTGGTTCATCGAGCGGCGAGCGGTGAAACTGCAGCTGTTTCTTTTGAACTACCGGACTGCAGAAACTGTAATTCGGGCACTTTGGTACGCTGCAGCCTTTTGGCATAGCGACCGAGCGATCGATCACGAACAATGTAAACACTACTCGAGCAGCCAGAAAACGAAAGTCTACTCTGCGAAGAAAGCGAGAGCAGGAGCAAACCCGTTCAGCAGACGACGCTCGTGGGTTGACTGCGCAGGCGCAGTCGCGTCTTTCTCTTGCTTCGTTTACCACACGATAGATGGCGCTTGGCTATGAGCATTATCATATTCAGCAATTTTCGTTACATCGCCAATTATGCTACAAAATGTAGATCTGAATATTATTTAACAAAACTTTTAGGAAACATTCGCCGCCTGTTTATTGCTTATGATCGTGGTGCTGGTGAAGTAGGCTCTTACCCAATAGGCGACGCGGATTTGGCTGACGTGCTGCGGTTCCGCGAATGCGTCACAGTGAAGAGGCAGAGAGCTTTCGAAGGAATAAACGTACAGAAGAATCCGGTCTTCTTTTAAAAGTTTTATACCGAAAATATTTTTTGGCTCTCTATTTTTGCGTGTTTCTGTTTCTTTTCTTACCTTTTACGACGTGCGAGGAATGAAATTGGATTTCAAAATCGTTTCATGGTCCCTTTAAGCGTAAAACACGCGAGCAAAAATCGCGTCGCGCCGCTGAGCGGCGCAACCATGACAACCGTCGTTGACGCTGTGACGTAGCGCCGCGGCATCGAGTCATGACATAACGTCAGTGGCGGTTTCTATACACCTTTTCCACAAGGGCGCAGCCATCTTGAATGTCGTCACTTGTGGTATGCGGTAAAACATGGTTTTCGTCTCTCCACGCCCCTGGAAGGTGTATACGAAAATGCGTGATTGTCACACATTCTTTTTTTTTGCCCACTTACATTCTCTCGCATATTCCTGGTTGAAATGTCTGATTGTTTTTTCTTTCCGCGTACCAGATACGGAACCCACGAGACTGAGAAGGACAGGAAACAGAAAACGTCTATATGTGCACCGTGCGGCAGCGCGATTCGACGCGATTTTTGCTCACATGCGTTTCACGCTTTAGGGGTCGCCGGAGAAACTGGAAACCCCGAAGAATAACCCCCGGGACGGGTTTTCGTCAAAATCGGGGAAACTGGGAAAACCCAGAATCGTCGGTGTCTTTGAATAAGAAAAACCCAAGCTTCAGGGAAAAAAAAAATCTTTGTCTGCGGGGTTCTTTCGTGCTGACGCGGAACACAACCCACTGTCCGTGAGGCGCCTTCTTCGAGAACCCTTATCACGTTTCCTTTCCTTAATGGTGCGGGGACGTTTTCTAAAATTAACTTTTTTTTTTGTTAGTTAAGTGTTTCCGGAAATAAATTTCGTTCGCATTTGTGATTTTCTGTTTCACCTCACGTGCAGCATGCCCATCGAGGTGGTGCTCAGCATACAAGACCTAGATGGCTTTGATGAACCCGTGTCTGTACCTGGTTTTGTGTTCGTGCAATAAAACATTATCATTATTACTATTATTATTATAACTATAAATGACGCTTTGTTTTCAGCAGAGTTACTAGACTCAAATGTTTCCTCGGCTTCTTTCCCCAGATGACTGAGCTTGATGTAAGGACTACGCTTTTCAGGTTTAAACCAAAAGATGGCATCAGTGCGGAAGACCTGCGGAGAAATTATGACTTTATAAAACATCTACTTTTTTATATGTTAAATGGTTTCATTTCTCGCGAAAAAATCTCGGATGATTTGAAGAGTGCTTTAGTAAAGTCTTTATCTGAAGGTGGAGAACGTAGACATCGAACTACGTACAAGTCTGCTCCGAGCGCTTGCCAGAGTGGGCCGTTTATAAGAAAAAAATACAGCCCTCAGGCTCAAAATATGAATGTGCGACTGTCATTTGCTGATATTGAGGACCATTTTCAGACTATTTCTGAACAGGACGGGTATATTTCAAATTTCCTTCAACTATCCCTTTAATGTTCTTTTAGGCTTCTTACCGTTTTAGAAATGATTATTGCATCGAGTGTTTTTCTTTTTTCTTTTTATTTTTATACAGCTGAAGGTTTCTGATTTTGTTTGTGCTTCTCAGTGAATATCGTAGGTTTGCGGATAGAGCTATTTCTTGATTATGTAGATCTTAGTTTGTTTTCTGCGTTTTGTTTTCTATATTCAATTTAATATTTTCGTTGTACATTTATGTATATTTTTTGTACTTCGACTTTGTTTTTGAATCACAGAACAATATCGTAGAATAATTTATTGTACACAAGTATGCCGTTTTTTGTGCTTTCACAAATAGAATTTGCGCGTGGAGATATTTCTTGATTGTGTAGATCTTAATTTTTTTTGTGCGTTTTACAGCGAAGCTGCATTTGACTTGTTGGTCGGATTTCTTGTGTCCGTCGACAGAACAGTAGTCGATAGATAAAATAGTCGACAGAAAATCCACGCGCGCGCCTCGTTTCTTATCATGTGGTTTTGACAGTTGTTTCAATAAGAAAACCACAAAGCAAGGGTCAAAACCACGTGATAGATGCACATAGCGTTCCCCGCATGCGTTTCTCGGTAAAGATGGCGGTTGCATAAGCTGCCGCGGCAACGGCAGAGTACGAAGTGTGGAGTGACGTCACTTGCCCCGCTAACAATGCGAAGCACGTAGAGCTCCCCGCATGTGTTTCTCGGTAAGGAGTGCGGTTGCACTAGCTGCCGCGGCGATGGCAACCGTACGAAGTCTTTCATATATAAAAAAAGTTTTGGTACAGTGCATTTACTGTACCAAAATTACGTGTCAAACGGAAATTACGTGTCAAACGAACTAATTACATTTCGAAAACCGAGAGAGACGGCAATAACTACTAACTACATAGTAACACTGGATCAGTAACTCCTTGTGCATGTGGACTGATCTGATTGATTGATAGGTTTACGAAGGAAAGACAAAGATGTTAACTTAAACGTAGGTTCTAGTTTGCTACTCTGTGCGGGGGTTAGGGGGAGGGGGAAGGAAAAACATAGAGATGAGAAGGAACGATGGGGTGAATTTTTCCATGATAGTGGTTTACTGTTCAATGTTCACACACATATCTCTAGGCATTTACAGAGTGGACGACAAATTCGTGATCGTAAGGAATGTTACTAAGGCCTTCGTGGCCCTTATGAACTGGTCCACTTTGTTCCAGGCCTTAATACTTTGAAAACGCTTAAAGTCTTCGGGTTCATCGCCATTAAACTTTGTCGTAGTACTTGACGTTCCTTGTTGAACTGACGGCATTCACATTGGATGTGTTCAATGCAGCGGATCGCACTTGGTCCGATCCGCGGAGTCTCTCTTTCCAATCCGGCAAAGGAACTGCGGGGTGAATGCCACACCAAGACGCAGTCGGTGCAGAACACGTCTCCAATTGTCTCAGAAGTCCAAATGAAACGCGGAATTTAAGTTGAGGGTCCAGAAAGTATAGCCTGGGCCAGGAGGTAAGCACCGAAAACGCAGGAACAACGAAGTGTTCTTTGGCGCTTACCTACTTGATCATTAACCAACTGGCCCACTTTGCCACTTTAATATAGCCAGAAGCGGCGGTAGTTTGTATTCGTCCAGTATTACGTTGAGATTGCCTTTGCCATGTTGTAAACCAGAGCGCTCGTGTCGCAAATGCAGTGAGGTATATCTATTTCAATGCCACTGTTAGCTGATTTTATAGCACTATCTGCTGCCTCATTTCCGGTGACACAACAGTGATCTGGTATCCACTGAAGATATATTTGAACACCCTTTTGGTGTGCTCCGTGTCACAAACAGCAGATCAGTCTGTCTATGCTGGAAAAAGCGATGGAGAAACTGCATCGTGACGTCGCCGGTGACGTCGCCGAACTGTGGCGATTGAGTTGAAACTACTTCATTTTTTTTTCTCCCTACAGGGAATTTCGGAAAATCGCAAAACTCAGCAGTGAAGGGCTCGGGAGAGCAATACTCTTAAGCATCCGAAACGTGTAGTGCATAGCAATTTAATTAACGTATTTTTTGTTGAAATTTGTCGCATAGGGTATTTAGTTTACTTAAGTTACACAAAAACTATTAGCATTAGCTGCAGCCCTTTACGTTGCGCAGGCAGGCAGTCATGGCCGACAACACGAAGAAGCGGAAGTAAAATCCTCGCGTGTCGGTCCGCCAAAATAGCCTTCTGAGCGACTTTTTGACAGAAAACCAAGTTTTAGTGAGGGCCGCCACTGACAGTCCTCTAACCGAGCCTGAGCGGGACGAGTTCTGGGACGGAGTTGTGGAGGAGCTGAACGCCCAAGGCCCGTGCATCGAAACACGAGCAGAATGGAAGGGCCACTGGAATACTCGTGCGTGCCACGCCCGAGCAGAAGATTTGGATAAAGCGTGTGCTGCTCGGCCGTGTATCACTACTGCGTGGTGCACGTTAAAAACCCCAGGCTAGCAGTCGTACTGCTCCGGCTAAAGTGCTTATCTACAGTGGGTAACAATGTCGCCATGTTCAGGCAGACTAACCTCCTGCTATATAAACGTAACTTTGGTATCAACAACTAACGACAAATTTAAATTTTCGACTTTGTTTGAGTGCGTTAGTGCAACTTCTCTCGTGCTGCACGAGAAAGAAAAAAATGTTCCTTCGGGAGTTAAATTTTCGGTGAAGTAGGGAGCAAGAAAGAGGAAAGGAGAATATTATCCTCAAGTGGGGTTCGTAGCAGAAGAGGAGGAAAAAGAAAATCAGTTGTTAGTCCCATGGTGTGTATGGTTACAGTGAACTAGAATATAGGGCAGTGGAGCGAGCGGAGAGCGGAGCGCCTTGTGTTGGCTGTCACCGACGGTGGCGAAAGATGCGACGGCGCTATGATCGCCGACTATTGAATGGGGCAGACTGGGGCACGTTCGGACATCGCGTTTCGTCTTCTTTCTTCTCACAGCGTGTTCTATTGCTACTTTGCTCGGAACAGTGGCCTATCCTCCAGTCGATGTGCGTGTTGACACTACGGGTCAATGAGCCTTAAAAGACGTCTGAACCACTGCTACGCTCCAGGATGCAACACAGGGTACGCCCGAAGCCATGACGCAAGAAAGCTCTCGATGTTCAAGGCGCCCGCCGATCCTGAACGAAGAAGGCTGTGGGATCAGAGCTTGCACAGAGCTGGCAAGCCGCTCACCGCAGACTGCGTAATTTGCGAACTTCATTTCCAACCACATTTCATTATTAGAGACTATGTGCACCAGATCAACGGTGAGGAAGTTCGCATCCCACGAGGGAAACCTACACTCGCTCCTGACGCTGTCCCCATGGATTCACGGAGCCTCCCACCTTGCACAAGCATGCATGCGGCTCCCAAGACAGATCAGAGGGACGTGACAAGCGACGAAGGTGTCACGCCAGCAAAAAAGTCACGCCCATCGACTGCAGACGGACCCGAATTTGTCGACCATCCAGATGGTACTAGCAGACCCCCTGTGGTCACACCTCTCGCCACGTTGAAGGGAATCATACCGCCGAACAGGCACTGGGTTCTTCACCAGCTTGACGACACCGAGGGAGTGTGTTTCACATCGTGCTCTCTCAACTCGCTCACCGGTGAAGTGAAGGTAGAAAAGGCAGTGTTCTTCACCGTAGACAGTGCCGGTGTTTTCTATTCAAAGGCGTTTGTGCTTGGTAAGCTGGTGGCCGGCTCGGCAATGTCAAACATGCAGGACGCAGCAAACGTATTGCAGCGCGTGTGTGAAATGCATCCCTGCAACGGCGCCGCAGCACTGAACGAAGCTTTCCTGGTGAGCAACCTCACAACGAGCTTGCGAGACCAAACAGAACGCAAGTCTGGAACTATTTTCAGCGTTAACTGCCAAGGAAGGGCTACAAAAAAGGGCACACCTTGCACCGCTTGCAGATATTTAAGGAAGGCCCTCTTTACTCGGCAGTCACGTCTCAAAAGACGTAAAACAATGCCCAGAAGCACCAGAGGGTACGCTATGCAAAAGCAGCGAGCATGCACCCGCAAAAACAAGCGCCTTTTACTGAGGCTAGACAAGCTTGCAGGAGATGTCAACAGAATGAAAAATGAATGTGCCGCGACTCCTGAAGACGTGCTTACCGAAAAGATAAAGTCTCTGCCACCGAAACAGAAACTGGCTGTCAGACAATGCTTCGAAGCATCGAAGAGAAAAGACACACGCGGCATGAGGTATGACAAGCAATGGATTCTGGAGTGCGTCCTGCTTAAAATGAGAAGCCCAAAGCTCTATCGGTACATGCGTAGGCAGGATAACGCAAGCCTGACACCTTGCGTTATCAGCTTTTATGTAACATCAAGACTTCATTTTTTTGTGAAAGGTCTGAACAGGTCCAATCTTCTATCTAAGAGAAGGGCAGCTATGCACGCCAGGATGAGCAAAATGTGTTAGTCTTGTGGAATTCACTACTTTCATTATGTGTTAGTTTCTGCTAACTTACTTTCAACAATATGCAAAGGCAAGCAATAAAGTTTGCCAAGCATTCCGTATAGCTTTGTTTTTCATTTGTGGTGCATAGAAACTCAGATGCCGAGTTATGTACGATTTTAAAATAATGCAAATCTTGTTTTTGTTCAATACCACAACGCTGGAGTCAGCTTATTACAGCGCTGTTATTAGGTGAATAAGAAAATTGCACCGTAGTTCGTGCCCCAGGCATTATATGAAAGTCGCAGTACGGGAAGATTCGATGTTTTCTTGCAGCTAGGCGAACAGGAAACACTGACCGCATAAATTGCGAGCGTACGCACCCTGAATTTCAGTGGTTCACATTTCAGCAAAGAAGACAAAGGTTGTCGCGCGCCGCGTCTGTTTCGGTTTCGGACCATTGCATTCAAGTGTGGTCGATCGCAGCGCCGCCGCTGCTGTCGACACGGCACGCGTCAGGCGGAGGGGCTCGCTCGCTCCACTGCCCTATATTCTAGTTCACTGTAGTATGGTCTTTTCTGAATGTGTATGTTTATTTTATTTCAGCTGGCCTGAACTGAAGTAGTTGCTTTAAAATAAAGTATAACTCTTTCTCTCTCTCTCTCTCTACCTGAAGTTTGAACCAACCAGCTCAACTTAAGCCTGTTACCGTTACGATACATAATATAGCTTTAGTTTGCAATCCAAAACATAGATATACATCATTGGCTATTTTCTCACCTAGCTGTCAACTTGTTGGCGGAGGGGGCATGGGAGAAGAAGGAGAAGAAGAAGAAGAAAAAAAAAATAAGTTTTTTTTTTTTTTTTGATGGACACGATGCTTTAGGACATTCACACCTATGAAATATAAAAGTTAAAACAACATTAATTTAGATTAAGCAATATCTAAATAAGTTGCCGAGTACGGTCCACTTGGTTCCATAAGCGATATAGGTTAAAATCTATATTGAAAATAGGAAATGCATAACTAAATAATAGAAATAATCAGCATAAAAAGGGGAAAGAGGAAGGAAGGAGAGGGAAGGGAAAAAGAGAAAGATAAAGGAAACACAAAAAAACAACTTTTAACGCTGAAATATTATTCATATTCTTATTCTCATACAGGACATCTTCATGAAGAAGTTGAATCGTCGTCGTCGTCTTTTTCCAGAAGATCGATGGAGCAGAAACCAGGAAAAACAAATTTACATATAAAGCAATAGGATCTTTAGAAAAGGAATAATCCTATATACAAAACTAAATGCCCGCATTAAATTGCAAGCCCGTTCCTGAAACTATGGTTTCGATGCCCCCCAGTCTTTCTTTGAAATTTGCTTTCACAGTAAATTTAAATTTGGTCAATCGACCCTATTCATTCGTTTTTATTGGTTCAAACCTGTTATGCCATTTGGCGGTACAGGTTGAGAGTTATAGGTTTATTTCTTTTCTTTTAGCACTCAATTAAACATTCCGTAAACATTCTGTTACCGTTACGTAACAGAGTGCATGATTTGCAAAATAGTGCGCGCCGCCTATCGCGCAACGCCGGAAACTTGGACATTTCGGGTGCGAGGCTGGAAAGTGGTTGGGAAAGACGACGAAGTGCTTTGAGCAAGGAACACACAATTTTGCTCTCTTGGTATCTTTTAGGTTTGAATCCTATGTACTCGTATCCTGACCTGTCAGTTTTGTTTCGGCAAGTGGAACTGGGCTTGTCTCTTACTACCAAACGCCTCTGCATGTAAGGGACCCTGTCTTCATCTGAGAAAGTAGCGAACATCGGTGACCATTCATCTTCTGATGTCACTCCTGGGCAACGCCCAATGGTAAACCCCACGGAAGACAGCCCTGCTGCCACTCCAAACGCCTCCCCCGAATTTAGAACATTCCGACATGGAGCAGGACAACGACTCTGGAGGACAATGGTGCGTCTCTGGAAATCGGAAACGTGTTCGAAGTGATGACTCACTCTCCGATTCTGGCAGAGCACGTGTGCCAAACAACGTCTCCAACAGTCTCACCGTCGTATATGCCCCGACTGACTCAGAGAAGAAATTAACTTCCCTTAGCAGTCTCAAGGTCACACAGGCTCTCGAGAAGATAAGTCAAGAATGCATTCTTCAAGTGCGCTACAATCAACGACTCAACCTTATTGCAGTTGACGTCCGAAACGGACATGCAGCACAAGTGCTGATGAACAATACACTACTATGCGGTATCCAAGTTCGACCATACTCTCTGTTGTCAGGCAAAACAAGCGTCGGAGTAATTCACGAGGTTTATGCGGATGTCACCGATGAAGAACTGGCACAACACCTACGATCAGAAGCCAAGATTGCCAATGTGCGACGACTTGGAAAATCTCGAGTCGTCAAAGTCGTCTTCAGCGGCAGCCACCTTCCGATCATGTCTTACTAGGATATGTGCGACACTCTGTTGTCCCACTTAAAGGGTAGCCCATACAATGCCACAACTGCGGCGGTTTCGGACACAAAAAAATCGCCTGCAAACGTGCCCAAGCTTGCAATCGATGTGCCGAAAACCACGTTCCGACAGCTGAGGGATGCACGTCCAGTTCAGTGAAATGCATAAATTGCAGCGGCAATCATGAGGCTACATCGCACATATGCCCGAATTGGAAGGAAGCACAGTCTGTAGCTACATATTCAAAAATGAATACCGTAGGGTTTCGTGAAGCAAGATCCGCCATTTTCCGTCAAAAAACGACCAGGGACACCACCGAGGGCACCAGAAGAGCAGAGTCAAAGTCAGAAGAAACTGGTAAGGACACTTATGCTTCAGCGCTCAAAAGAACTGGCCAAAACATTAAAGAAAAGATGAACACCAATCCCACAATCAGTCAGATCTTGACGCAAGGTTCGTCAGAAAAATCTATACATCAGCCATCACCCAACGCGGGACCTTTGACACGCCCCTGTGCCAAAAAAGACCAAGTTGAAAAAGAAGACAAAGCTAGCAACCAAGGGACACAGGAAAGTGAAGCTCCTGGATGCATATCAATCATAAAGGCAGGTGCTAGTATAGCACTTGCAGTTTTGGCGAAAACTGAAGCCTCCTGGGCGGGTGCCCTTGCATCCATTATCCAGACAATGCTTCACCTTCTAGCAGGCTGTTAGTAGGATCACTCAACACAAGTGCGCATTGTTACCAACGAAGAGAAGCCTCTAAGTGTGGAACTTCAAGCGAATTCCAACACTGCGGCACAGCACAGCACAGGCGTAGTCCATTGTTTCCTTCGCTGCTTCAATGGAATGTAAACGGACTGTGCACTCGACTTTCTGAACTGCGGCAATACCTAACAGATAAGAAGATTGATGTCCTGGCCCTTCAGAAAACGAATGTCTTGCCCGGAGAGATACGCTTATCACCTCACGTGTTATATCATAGCGCGGCTATAAACCCAAATGGAAGATCAAGAGTCTCTATACTTGTGCGAGATGAAGTACATCACTCTGAGCTTGACCTTTCGGACCTCTGTTCACCATCTGAAGAGTATGTTGGAGTGACAATCAGAATGAGAAAGAATGAAACGACAATTGTATCAGCGTACGTCACGCCACAAGGCCTCTGGGACACAAAGCCACTTGAAAAAATAAGTAACAGAAGCCGAGGAAACTTATTTATTTGTGGAGACTTCAATGCTCACAATGAAATATGGGGTGGCACTCGCACGGATACGCGAGGACGTCAGATAGAGGCAACGGCAGCAGCGTTCAATCTCAGAGCTCCCAACGACGGATCGGCTACATTTTGCCGACGGCACACAAAGGCGAGCACGCTGGCATAACGCTGGTCTCGGTAGAAATCGACGCTCTCTGGACTGTAGAGCCGGACACGGGCGGAAGTGACCATTTTCCAATCAACGTGATACACCCCAGAGCGGCTCCGAAGACCATCAAGGAGTGCAAGGTGGTTCACCTGGGACCTTTTTCGTTAATACTTCACTTCCGCCGCAGATAGTAAAAGCCATACAGACATCACTACTTGCATTGCGGAGTGTTTGCAACGCGCAACCCGCATTGTTAAGATTCCAGCGACACGTCCTACACCTGAACTTGAGTGGCTTAATCTCCGAGCCGCTCGACGACAAGCCCAACGAAGGGCACTGCATACGGACGCCTTATGGGGTTGGGCACGATACAACCGCATTGACGCTTGCTTCCGTCGCCACACAAAAAAGCTGCAAAAGTGGCAGTGGAGTAGTGACTGTGCATCGCTGAGTGGCCCTGGGGGAGGAAGACGGGCGTGGGGGCTCGTTAGAGCTTTTAAAGGGGCCAAAATTCCGCGACATCCCATTACAACACTTGCAATCAAGACAGGTCAAACCATGATTGAAGTGGCGGAGCATCTGGCGGACGAGTTTGCTCGGTCCTC